TATAAGTTTTTAAAAATTTTATATGCTTTTTTATATATAAAATTTTTTGAAAATAAAATTAAAAGCCGGGTTGCCAGATTATTTTTCAAATTTTATGTTATAAGAACTGAAAAATTAACTTTGTATAGCCTTATATATTAACTTTAAATTAAATTTTATGAATAAATATATCATAAAAAGGAGAATAAAATGCTTTCGAAGCTAGATTAAAATTTTGTAATTTTTGTATAATTTAAAAATATAACTCTGCTAAAAGAAAAAATTTAACAGTTTTAAAGTAATAATTATATATAAAATTATACCTTGAACAACTCTAGCTAAAGAGTCAAAAAGGTTATCTTAGTACAAAAAAAGTTTTCTATGTACTAATATCAAAATTTTTAGTTTTTCTATTTAAAACTTTTTTTCTGTTTAGATAACCTATTCTGACCTCTTAAGCAAATTTGTTCAATACACAATTCTATATATTTTATATCTCGCTAATTTTGTTTTTTTTTAAATATTTTACTAAGTGAAAGATTGGATCAAAGGTTATATCAGTCATATGATATGCTATAGGATAACTTTCTTGTGATTGGTCAATCACATGAAATTAAATTAAACGTTATGATTGGTCATATCAAAAAAAAATTTTTTTTTAAATTTTTTATTTTTATTGCATTTTTTTAGTTTTTGTAGTAAATTATTAAGTTCTACATTATTAATACTATTAACAACAATAGGTTCATCATCTTCGTCAACCTGTCCAGTGCTACTACTTTCTTGAATCTGTATTTTTTTTATGTTTTTTGTCTTTTTTTTGTCTTTTGTATCAGTTAAACGTTCTGGCAACTAATCTACGTTAATTTGTATTCCGTTTTTCAAGAATTCCAAACAAGGCGGGCATTTTTGACCAAGTTGGTTTAAACATTCTACATGATATTTATGACCGCATAAAAGCATTTTCAGGTTAGGAGATAATAGGTTAGTATATATATATATATCAGCTTTAGTACAGAGTGAATAATCACACAGAATCAATTGATTAGGCTTTTGTAAAGTACTAAAACCCAAGAGAAGATAGCAAGTATCTGCAACAATTCTGATTGTCGGCATCGATATATTAGAATCATTTACTATTTTTTTTTTTTTTTTCCTTTCGTCGACGTTTCTGATTTGTTTAAGCTTAGACCCATTACGCCGTCTGTAGCAATTCAATTGTAAATATTAATAAAACGTTCCAACAAAAAACATGCTGCTTTTCGCGTGCAATTACTCAAGTCTCTATAGTTCAAAGGATATCTTTTCCATGTTGATTAATGTTCTGTTAATTCATTAAGACGTTTTTTATGTCTTAAAAAATTAATAAAATGTGCTTGACGTCATAATTGTTTTGCAACATCATGCTTCTGGGTAGTTCGTCTCAAAATACTATGAAATAATTCAACAGGTGCATCAGAAAATTTTGGCAGATGTATTTTTAAAATATCTAAAATAGGATGGTTAATACTTCTCTAATATAAAGTATCTGATAAAAATATTAGTGATGCCTTATTATAATTGTGACGATTAAAACGTAAAAAAAGTGCTCAAATCTGTATTACTGATTCTTCATATTCCTGTCATTCACCTGCGTGAAAGAAAATTGCATATATATCAAGAACAAGAGAAACCAAATTATCCATCAAATCTACTAGTATTAGATATTCGAGATCTTCACAGAGGCCAAATTTTTTTTTAATAGTATCTGAAACTTGAAGCCAACCACGGCGAATTACTTCAAATAACAAGTTAATTCGTCAAGACTGAACATTAATTCCAATTTCTTTTGTTTTATTAAACAGGTAATTGTATAATGAAGAAAAAAATTGATGATATTGTATATAAATAAGCTCGTGACTATTCAAGGAAATGTATAATGGGCCTATAATTAGAATAAAAGATAAAATATTTGGAGGTATGTTAGAATTGTGATCATATTTTAAAAATTTTGAAATCGCAGTTTTTACGAAAATTTGACCAGGCCAATCTGCAACGAGAGGATTAATATAACCTGAATCAAAGTATTTTTTCATTGCATTCACATTTTGAATAATTTCAAGACTTTCCAAATATTCAGTAACCAAATGCAAATTATTTTTTACAAGGTCGACAAGCACAATATCAATTAATGATCGATTATTGATCCTCTCCTTAAGGTGGAGATCATAACTGTGCACTGTTAACACTTTTATAGTTTCATCTTCAGTATTACTTACCTGATTTTTCTATAGCTTATTGAAGGATATTTCTAATGATATCATGAACCAATTTTCCAATTCTATTTTTATAAGATCTGCATCCACAAGCTTTGGATTGTGAATGCTTCCATAATCACAATTCATAGAAATTGGCAATGCATTTCTTATTGGATTTAATAGAATTGTTGCCATATTTACCGCCGCTGATGTTTCATCATCTTTTGAAACCCTATTAGTATGTATATTATGATAATCATCCACATTTAAAATCATGGCACTTTCGTGAAAAGTATTTAAATCATCATTAATTAAGGCTAGGTGGTCCTTCAAAATTTCATTTTTCTTACGCCAAACTGTTTGAGATGTTGATGTAATGCCAAGTTCTGCTAGTGCATTGATAGTTGCATCCATTGTACCTGTAGAATCAAGATAAAGTGCTAAATCACGTTTTAAATTTATAATAAATTTGTTACATAAACCACAAAGTAAATAACAAACAAAAAGTAATTGGGACATTATCTTGGGACGTGACTCGGGCTTTTTTTTCAATAGATTGGTCGAAGATACAAGTTCATCAAAAAAAGCCGTCAGATGTACATTTTCTGCCTCCATGTAAGTACAAAATTCTCCAAATTTTTGAAATGCAGACAATTTCTGTATCACTTCACGTTTATATAAAATCTCAGTTATGATTTCTATTGCTTTTGAAAAAGACATCTCCCCAGATTCCACTAAATTAGCACTAGATCGAACACTATAAATTGCCTTTGCATACTCTTTCATCACAACTGAAGAGTGAATAATGATTCTATTATAACACCATTGACAAACTATATCATTGACTTTCAAATATGCTGGTAAGGTTTGATTGTCTTGAGCACTTCCCAAGATCCAGTCTGTAACCTTTCTCATATGTTGTCTAGAAGCTTTAGCACACACACTAATTACGCATTGCTGATTCTCTATTACTGTAAGTTGCTTCTAAGTAAAGTATACTTTGTTGTGTAGATCTTTTTGGATTATTTTGCAGGAAGCTTGTTGTAAGTATTCTAAACAGTTTTAAACCGTTTTTT